AAAAAAAAAAAAAAAACCAGCCTCTAGTCCAAAGGGAGGGGGGAGGGGAGCACCAACAAAGGTCACTTCCTGAAAACTCATTTTAATAGGCAAACAAAATGCCTTAATTATGCTCCAGCATCATTTATTCATGACGCCTCGTTCGGGTCCATGAAGAAACCCTGCTCGGAAATGAATATTTAATTTCCTTGTTCTGACACCTGCTATTTTTTTTTCCCCCCTTGGTTTTGTTTAACTGGGATTTGGTGCTTAATCGCATGGCTGTTTCAGCTCAGGGCGGGGGGGGATGGGATTTAGTGTTTTCCGCGCAGCCCGGTTCAGCGCTAGCAATAACACTGCAAACACGCCGCGCTTGGGGAAAAGCAGTGAGGCCTGTAAGATTTTCCCTTATTCGGCTCAAACACAAACTGAATATTTATTATTGGCGCAGCAACAAACAACGCCTGGCTTTTTGCTCACAGGAGGCAATGAGTTTGGGGTTCCCTGGAATCTCTAGTGCACCCCAGCTGGTTCGGGGGGAATAGCTTTTTGTCCAGCTACAACTATCAAGAGATGCCACTCAATGCAGTGCTCATCTTCTATCTTGCAATACGTCGGCCTGATCAATGGACACGCACCCATTTCTTTCCTTGGGCACTGGAATAAGGCCTCAGCGCAGTCATGCTAGACCTCAGGTAGATGTGGCAATGCCAAAGGGGGAATTCTCTGTTCTGCCTAGTAAATGCTGGATGCTACTTAGCTGGCATGCCAAAGACAAGAGGCTTATGATGCCACTTCCCTGGGGTTGGGTTTATGTTGGTCTCATCCCAAGCCTGGTTTGGAGCAGCCCAGGGACTGCTCTAAACTACACTGGCTTGAAATAACCCGTTATAACAACAGGGATCACGAAAGCCCAACATGGCGCCATATAAGGCTGGCTATGCTGGCCGTGGCTCAACCAGGGAGTCTCCCACTCCAGGGGAATCCTCAGCAGCCCATGGATGGCAGCTCTCAGTCCCCTTTACATTAGTGGTGTGGCATGGAGCAGAATCTAGTCCCATATTTACAGATAGCACCAATCCACCATTAGAGTCAGCATTCCCCTCAACTATGGGATTGCCTCACCCCATAGGGATAAGGTGAGGGGCTCAGAGTCCGGGTGATGGGCTCACTAGAACATCTTGACTGGAATGGAATGGAACAATCAGGACAGCTGAGAGTAATTAGATACCTCGTAAAGTTTGTCTGGAATGTGGTCCGCTGAGCAGCATCATATAGAGCAAAGACACCCACTGTTGTATTGTGGTGAGGCAGTCAAGCAATTAAAAAAAATAATTGTGATTAATTGTGCAATTAATCGCACTGTTAAACAATAATAGAATATCATTTATTTAAATTTTTTGGATGTTTTCTACATTTTCAAAAGTATTGATTTCAGTTA